AAGTTCAGGCAGTACAGGCCACTTGGCACGTTGCACCCACGGTTTCACTTTTAACAAACGTTATTGCCCTCCAAGGCGTCTGGAGTTCAAAGTGGATTAGACTTTACAATGATATGTGTTCTTACTGATCCCTTGGTGCCACCAGCATAAAGAGAAAAATCACAATCAAGAGCTTTTCGTGGAAATGAAATTTGACGACTAAACTCTCCGTGAAGAAAAGAGATGTGTTTCTATTAAAAAAAATAAAAGAAAAAAAAGAGAGGATTAAGAACAATCACTCCCACATCGTGTTAAATCGTCCATATGTTTGGCATTCCCTTTCTTTTTTCAATGAAAAGCAGACATGCAAAATATCTCCCTCTAAACCATTGTTATGTAATGTTGATGTCCACTATTGCGATAAAGGAGAATGGGACTGGGGAGGAGGAAGGACGGATAGATAACAAGAGAAAACAAGGAACGAGTGTTCGATGGTACAGAGGTTCATAAAAATACTTCTCCAGCATGTGTTCCCTGATGTTTGTTGACGGCTGTAATTACGTTGTCGTTACCTGATTGGGTAACGCGTTAAGTATGGATGACGACAGAAGGACTCGTCCAATCTCAGCGATCTTGTTTGTAAACGCCTACGAAAAAGAATAGACGGGAGTCTGGGTTAGAGTGAAGTAAGAATGGAAAAAAAGAATTGAGGAAGATCGAGGAAAGGTGATAGAGAAGGAATTAGATTGCATCATATAAATATTCTTGGACAGATGTCAAAAAAGTGTTAAGTTCTTAAGAGGATTTTACCCTCAACCGGTGGGAGTATGAGGTGGGATTCTTTACCGAGTAAACTGCAAAGAACTTCCTGGAAAACGGGGCTTTGTACTAGTTTCAAATCTGTTAGAAGCGGATAATCGTTACGGGCCGGTGTAAAACGTTCTAAAAATTGCGCCATATTTGAAAAAAAATTGAACTATTCTTAACAGTGACCAGGACGAGACTTCGGTTCTTAGAGTTTCATTTTAACCAAACATTTATTTTCAATTTGTCCGGAAATCAATTTGATTACATCTGCTATCTTCATTTTAGTTCATGACCTTAGAGTATTTTCCCTTTCAAGCTATAAGGGTGTACCTGTGCCTGTCTCTCATCGACCGCCTATTGTGATGAGTATTTCAAGCAAATGAGTAAATGATTGTAATTCCGTTCCTGTACCTGTGATTGTCTTTTGTTAAACGCCAATTCTTGATCTAAAAAGTCCAACATCAACATGGGACTTGGAAATCCCTTGCGGTGAGTGTACACATCTCGTACATGGTCTCTCTCCTCGAGTATCTGATCTGAAAGGAATTACATCAATTATTAGGCGAATATTTCCCCTGGCTCCAAAGCCTGGTCTCGCTGTCCTGTTCAGGAAAAGAAACAAAGCCATTTTTCCGTAGCTTACCGATGCTGACTTTTCGCCGAGGAAGCGGCGTGGACAGATATCTCGAGGCAATTAATTTGTCCAAACCATCCTTTTTATTTAAACATATAATTAATTGTCTTCCTAAAAGCACCTGAACAATTTAAGCACCACTGAATATTTATGTTTATGCATTTAAAGTCGCTTCAAGTTGCATAAAGTTGGGATATAAATGACAATGAGTTAAGCTTTAAAAATAATGTCTCTTGTCTTCCTTTACGCCATCAAAACAGCCTCACAAGTGAAGAGCAAAAAGCAACGTTCAGTTACATTTTTCCGTTTGCTAAACTCAGAATTCTGGTTACACCGAATCATAGAAGGATTCTTTGAGACAATGACACCTTGCTAGAGACAAGGCAAACCTGGCGGTGAAAGATGTCGAGAAATGTAATTTCATTTTAAAGAACATCAAATCTCTGAAGGACTTTCTTTTTAGATCGACAGCGAAAAATTAATTGGATAGTCAAACAAACACTCTGGGAAGTTACACAAGGCAAGAATGGTGACGATACTAAAAGATTGCACCTTACTACGAGTTGTGAATCCCGAAAAGTACTTCTTACCTGATTTCTTGTCAATGAGATACAACTCTTTCCCTTCACTGCCAGAGTCTTGGTACCGTGACTTAAACGCTTCTAGGACCTTGCCAAATGTCATTTCCTAGTAATACATTTTTTGTAAGTTGTGATTGTTTGCATGCCCCCAAAGGCATTATCTTAAATAGGAAAAAATTGCTGATTTCAAGTTAAAATCCGGTTTTCATTTAATACTTTTTCCACATCATACATAAAATTGAACTAATTGGAAATCGTAAGACTGAAAAGTTATTACATATCCTACATCATGAACGGGAACTGTTTCTTTGGTTTTCTCCTGGTCTTTCTCCTCTTCATCGTTGTCTTGATCGGGAAGAATCACGCAAAGTTTCTGGAAGAAACATAAATTAAAAAGAAATTTCGATATAAAATGAAAGAGTAAAACAAACAAAGAAGGGAACTCTTGCTCTCGCAACACAATCACAAACATATACAGACTTCTTTCTACATGCTGAAGGCGTAGTCAAGAAAAAATTCATACCGGCACTATCTAAGTAATAATTTGTTACTGACCGAGCACGAGGGCCGTTCAGTGGAATATTGGCCCGAGGTCGTGACAATGAAGACCGAGCACAGCGAAGTTCGCACAAAACGACCGAAGGCCATCATTCCCACGTAAGGTTCGAAAAAGCAAGGTTAGTAAGTAGCTCACCATAATTATGGCACTCGCATCAAATTTATTTCACTTAATTTGCTGACTTTCGCGATCAAAAATACACAGCTTAGGACCGTTTCTGTGAAAACAGTCCGTATGGCAAAAGTTCGACCAAGTAAGAACCAATCAGAACGTTCAGATTTACCGTAGGACTAACGTGCCATATATTAACCCTTTAACCCCCAAGAGTGATTAGCTTCTAATTTCTCCTTACAATATCATCCCTTATCCTTCTCGGATAAGGACTATAAACCGTAGGCCCCGTCTCCTGCATCTTCAGTGTTACATGGTCAGCAGGGGACGTTAAAAAACCCACACACTTGTAGAAAAGAGTAGGGGGCGTAGTTCCCGGCGTGGTGGTCTATCTTTTGTTTCATTGTACATTTCATGCATGGGCTGGGTGGGTGAGTGAGATCAAATATGGACTGATAGCGGCAGCCAGAGGCGCCTTTACAAGCTGACGTTCGATCTCACTCAATTAGAATTGTAAACCGCCTTGAGACAGTATGTGATATGTGCGGTATATAAATACACATTCATTCATTCATTCATTCAATCATACATAAGGTCACAAGAATAATGTAAATGATCAACAAGTACAGGAGCTTTTGATTGTTAAACAAATTCTCCTTCTCAGCACCTTAGGAAATTTATAGAGAACAGTATGGAGAATATGTATACTGATCTTAGGGTGTAAAGAGTTGAAGGCTGATACATGCTCTCTTCTCTTGAAAGTGAATGGATTCGTGTTTCATGCGATAATACGATCCTTTTAATTCACAACCTTATAACCTAGAGTTGACGTTTATTGTACCATTGTTTATAGGATGTGAATACCACAAAAAAACAAACAAACAAACAAACAAACACACAGAAACAAAAACAAAAACAAAAACAAAACATCTGTCAGTTTTATAACCAAACAATGTATTACCTTAGCGCCAGGAACGTTCGAGCTGATACGTAAGGCATTCTGTTTGAAAAAAAATTCATAGGAAATGTAACAAAAAAAAGTTATGGAGGACACTTAAAGTAAATTTTAGGGCCTGGCCATCGTTAACACTGCTTGAAGCTGGTTATGAAGTATCCTTCAATCTGTTAACTTAATTATCATCTCAATATTGGATAATGAAAGCCTATTACTAGGCACGAAGATGCTCAAGTCCAACTTCTTTTCGGTATAACTTCAGAGTTACCTCGGCATCATTCCATCATTCATTGGCCACTTAAAGTTCACACTTATACAAATGAAACAGAATGATGGGATGAGGAGACCTCCTAGAAACCACTTTAGGATAATTACTACGAAAACAAAACTGTACTAGAAAAGCAAATCAAATGAACACAACAATCGTGTTTCTCAACGGAATTCTTGTTTTTAATTACTTAAAGAAGGGCTGGGTTCAAGGGATAATGATATTTTGTTATCTCTCGTAAATTTGAACATGTGTCGCATACTTGCGTGTCATTTTTTTTTCTAAACTTTTTCACTGTTATTTAACAACAGAACCTGCATTTGTTGGATGCATTTTCAAATGAAGCGTTCGCTCGTATCTAATTTTGACATCATTCAAATGAGACCGTTCAAACCTAACATGTGAAAAGCGAGTCAAGAGAAATTGGCATGTGTGATCTCAAAAAACCCACGTAACGCCCGTTCTGACTGAAAATTAATAATCAATCAACTCACATCGCAATGTTCTTTCCGTAGACACTGCTTGAGATCTTTGAACAAAAATCCCCGCACGCTTGGCACGGCCTGTGGAGTGAAATTGAGTGAACCTCAAGCCTTGTAATCCCGAGATTTCAGAGCTAACTTATCCAACGAATGACCACAAATCTCTTTAGAGCTAATGTTTGGAACTTAGGGAAACATTAGGGGAACATCCCCTAACTGATCACTTTCTAACGATCATGTTTATCCAAATTCTTTACCGGCTCTTTGTGTTGTACTCTGAAGTAAAAACCTGACTCTCACAGTCGGGTAACAATGCGGGTGTTTGTCCTGGTAGGTGTAGGTACTCTGTGTTTTGTAACAGCTCAAAGGAGTTTCGCAAGAATATTTACTAAAAAGCACTACTGAGAATAAATCTGTGTCGAAAATGCAAAAAAAATCGAACGAAGTAAACACTTAAAACACTTTGGAATCTCAAATCATGATCAGTATCCTAATTTCACACGTATGTCTCAAGGAAAGAACAAATTGATGTGGTTTCTAAAAATACCATCTGCATCTTTTTATCGTGACAATTTTATACCTCCTACCTGCCAGAGCAGCGACAACACCAAGGCAAGCGAGTCCTGGGAACCAGGCTTGTTAGTTCTAGCATAATACATGGCAACACCGATCTGTTAAGAGACAGACTACATGTTATACAAAGGTAAAGAAGATAAGTTCTGATTTGTACAACGATGCAAACAACATAGAGTAATCAGAGACCTACACCCCCCGTTCGTGGGATACTGTTCCATATTAGCTATACACGTTTTTACCAACCCAAAGGATATGTTTCTTGAGTTGGTTTGGGCTGCACACTGGTGAAGATGTTGACCATCATGGTTTCCTAAGCTTTTTCAAGGGGACCAAGGGCACGAATCCAGCTTTTTGGTCTTTAAACTCCAAATAAATAGAAAAAGAAAGGGAACTAAGATGTATCATTCGAACTGAATTTTACCAAATCTGCACTTCAGCTCAGATGCGAAGCTTAGCTCCGCGGAAATAAAACGTAATTCAACAGCAAACCAAGAGGTCCAAACGCACTCAAACTCGACACTACCATGATCCATTACTAACCAGATTGTTTATAAGAAATCTAGACGATGCTTGTGGCAGCTCTGTGATGTAAAGAAGCAGCTTCCTTAGAAGAGAGATGTGTTCCTCCTGATTCAAAAAAATCAAATAACGTTTGTGAACACGGGGGAAACATTAACTTGTCGCATTAAAGTGTGACAGAGCGGTAATAGCGTCGAACTTGCAATACAGAGGTCCAGGGTTCTAGTTCCTCTTTGTTCACATGATGGATGTAGTTCTGGATAGTCCTAAGTTCAACTCCTTGACATCGATTGTAATTTTCCAACGCATTTGCCCACTGACACCAAAGGCTTAGAAACGTGCTTTGTTTGATTTACATTATTTGTTTGACTTTATTAAATAAGGGTTACAGGTGTACCAGTGTTCCCACTACTGTCAAGTGGTACCCTGTTTAACAAAAATTTTGTTGAGGAAGAAAACCTCATACAGTAACTGTGCAAAGAAACAAAAACGCATCAAAAATTAACTAAGATGAAATAAGTGGACATGGAAAGAAAGACAACAAAGCAAGCAGTTCAACGAACCTGTTTGTCCCTCTTAGTCACTTGTTCCAAAATAATTCTAAAGAAAAGAACTGGATCATCCACTAAGCACCTCCAGACCAGACGACGGGCGACTTCCATCACTGCGGATGAAACACAGGAGTTGAGAATGATGTAACCCAGTTTACGCCCCCTAACCCACAAAAGTACTTCCGAGCTCGAACCCTGACCAGGTCTCTGCGTTGTGTTCTTGGCTGTGATACTCTATTTTCACAGAACCTATCTCCATCCCAGAGTATAGGAAGGTAACAGCGAATTGAAAGTGAAATCTTAGAAAATGCTGGGTCGAACCCGGAACTATTCAGTTGCAGTCAAGCTCACTGGCTTCTGTGCTGCAGCGTGAACCAAACCGATGATGAACTTAGGTTCACTTAACACTTCTTTTGACGATCAATTCACCATCTTCATTACTACCCTCTGCAACAAACTTATTCACTAACCAGCTATTTTGTCACTATCCACTAGTACGTCATCCATCATTTTGATGATGTCAGGAATGGCTGATGACACAGCTTGCGGCCATAACTCAGCTTCTACTTGTTGACTTTCACCTTTAATAGTAAAAATAAAATGAGGAAAACAGAAATATCAACATTTCAACCTGAAACAAAAGGATATAAGTGGAAAATTCCACTGAAAATAAACTCTCTGTTTTCCTAATTACTAGAGACGCTTGGTGTTCTGTTTTGTCATTGCTTTGATTTCGTTTCTTTTATCCGGTTCTATGTTGATGTTGCAAGGTTGTCTTAAGGAGAAGATACACTGCGCGCCCACTTGGCAAGGAGGCTGAAATCCACTGTATCATATCAGCACGTAAACACCAAGCCAAGGCGTGCTTGTCAACCTGTAGTGCGGGCATAATCACAGCCTCTGAAGTCCCCAAACATCTCTTGGTTGAGGCACTCTCTCAGCTAAACTGTCATTGTCCGCTGTGCCATTTTCCAACCATAAGAGCTAAGACAGGCAGAGTAACGCTGACACAAAATGAGCAATCTCTGGGAATAACCTCTGGTACACTATCCGGATTTTGTCTACTCTGTGAGAGCACCATTCTTGTTGTTCAACCATTCGAAGAAATATGAATTTTAATACCTAAACTGACTTTTAAGCACTTGTTCCAAAACAAGCATGCATTTTAGTTTGCAAAACACTAAACAAATAAATAAAAAAAAGTGGAGAGAGTACCGAAGAGACATGATACGTATGTTCTATAACCTCAAACCTTCATCTTCTCCCGTCACATCTTGTGAGTTTCCTGTCCCTTCCAAGTGGTAATGCCAAACGTCCATGCGAGAATCCTTCTCTATTGAAATCCACAGCAGCAAGAAAAAACAAAGCACATGGCGATTTGCGTAAATCTTATTTCATGATTTATAATCGTGCCGTACAAGTGATTTTACTGTGCTTAAGCCAGTGCTGGTGCCAGTGCGACTGCCAATGATTGTGCCTACATTAGAGCTCGTGATACTGCCATCGTGGTGAACGTAACTCGGTGCAGGTACCACCAATGATGGTGCCAATGTTGGTACTCGTGATGGTGTCAATTTAGGAATAAAAAGCCAGTGCTGGTGCCACCATAATTGCTATAAAAGTGCTAAAATTAGGGTTCCTCGTGGTGCCATAATGCTTATAAGAAGCTAATACTGGTGCGACCTTAATTGCCAATGCCAGCGCTTATAATGGAGTTTGTAATACAGCTATTACAATTAACATAAGCCAGAGCGGGTGCCATCTGGGTTGCCAATGTTTGCGCCTCTACAGGTGCTCCTGATTGTGCTATGGGAATGATGTTTGGCCAATGCTGATGCCAGCTCAATTGAAAACACTGCGGCTGATATTCATGCTCTTGATGGAAATTTCGTGGAACATTATGTTCATTGCGAGAAAGTATCAAGAAGGCTTATTTTTTAATTACAAAAATAAGAGAATACCGCAGCGCTACACTTTGGTATGTTTGCATATTTACTTTGATACGCGTGTTGTCTTTTATTTACATTTTTTGAGTTTAATTGCTAAGTGCTATTACTGTTATTATTACGGCAATTTGATTTTGATAGCTAAAACATTGTTGTCCCAGAATAGTAAAATGAACAGATGCTACTTTGTATCTACTACTCTCTGGTTGACAGAATTAATTAAACAGCTTAAGAATGCAAAGGCAACCTTTTGGAGATTTATCAGTATGTACAAGGTGTATGCTTCTTATTAACACTTTTAACACGTTTGTGTACTTTAACTGTAGGTGATTCACATATTTCGAAACGACATTTTCGAACTCATTCCGTGCTATTGCCGATCTACTGCCTTTTTGGTTCTAATCTTGTCACGAGCGATGCCCAAATAATTAAGAAGTGCATGTTCCTATGGAAATATGACTTTTCTTGAAGCAAGAGGAAACCCTGTCGCCTTCAAATTCACACTATTCAACCGTCTGACGAACCTGTCTAACTTATATCACAATTGAAGGTAATATCAACGTTTGGGTAACAAGGGCTTGTTAGAGGTTGTCAAACGCCCGTTTGGGATGGTATGTTGCTTGGTATGTCACATAAGGAAGGACAGGGCATCTGTTTCATATTGTGCAAAGATTGGGCAACGGCTAGTTCATTTTAGACTTTATTTTACGATAAATTCAAGAGAGGACAACCGCAGCTGCGAATAAAATACAGCCGTGGCCAACAACTTAAGACATTCTCGATACTTGCATATCACTAAAAGATTAAATCTCACAGTAACTTTAAGCCAAACTTCCAAGGTGGAGTAATAACATACAGGTCGTGTCCTCGAAGCTTCAACCAAATAAAGATATATAGGACTTTGGAAAAATCAAGAAATTCTCAATTCAAAAAAATACTGCAGATTTAAAGGCTCTACAATTAGCTTTGTTTATCTAACCTTGACTTCAAAGGCTAAGGACTAACCCTAGCATTGACACAGAGGGATGGCCATCTCTGCCATGGCTTATCACAATCCAAGCTCTTTTTTGCAGACACAACGAGGTATCCTGTGCTGAAACAAGTGGAACAAACACTGAAGCAACTCACCTTTTTCATCCTCTGCAACATTTACACCAACTGTTGTCTCCATTGACACCGGAATAGCTCGCAATAAGAACTCAGATCGCTCTTGTTGCTTCTTCAAAGCGTTGCTATTGTCGCGGATCTTTCTCTTATCTCGGTTCTTTTTGTCCTGCTGCTCTTCCAGGATTAGAGTTGCATCCCAAGGGCAGTCAGGGGGGTGACTTGAAGGCATACCAACGGCAGGGGAGGGGAGGGTGAAGTCGACTTTAGGTGGCGGAACCTTTAATGGAAGATAATCAAAATGAGAAATATATATTCCACTGTAAGTGTGTAAGAATGACCCTCCCCCCCTCCCCTCAGCACTTCCTCTGAACGTTAACTAATCAAAAACTCAACACAATGACTTCGCACAGAACACTAACAAAAACCCTAGTAGGGTTCGTCGCTTCCCGAAAAAAAAAGGGATACATCCGAACCTTTAGAATTAGTCTTGCTCCTTCCTCAAGTCTAGGCCAAGCATGATACCTGGATTGCCACAAAACCTCAAATCTACAATTGAAGGAGAAATAAACAAATGAAAGTCAAGAAAACTCCCTAAAACATGGCAGCAACTCTCGACCCAGAGAACAATTTTCCTTGTATCTAACCTTTGCAAGAAGTATTTTTTCACACGTATTCGACAATTTATGTTGAATAAATTTTTACTCGTTAACGAGTGGTAGGGAATCCTTCTACAATAGAGGTCCAGACTTCTTACATCCTTAATTCACAGACAAGAATTTGAGTGCAACGCTCGATGAGTCTTCTTGAAGTTTAGAGAAGTGTCTGATCAGTCTCTTGGCTAAGACAAAACGCTGCGTCATGCCAGCCGAGAAGCATCTTTTCGCAGGTATTTGACAATTTTTTTTTGCAATACAGAAAGGTTGAAAAATTGTTCAAAGCAGACAAATCAAACGGTGGTTATACAATCAAATCTAGCGCTCCAGAGATATGCTCGCCGTTGAAGTGGCATGCACCGACGGTTTTCTTATGCAGTGTCAGTAGGTAAAGTGAGATAAACATTTCCCTAAAGTAGTAAACAATATTACACGAAATGTCCCTTTACTGCATTTGGTTTGTTTTTCCTGTTCTGGCAACTTATACAATGTAGGTTATTTTTGCATGTAGGTCGTCAATAGGCGACTTTTAAAATCATAAAGCTCGGAGCCCGAAATGATCTCCGGCGAATGGGCCTTTCTGCTGATCTCCTGGCCGTCAGTGTAGCAATTCTTACCCACCTCTGGAGAGACTTGACTCTTTCATTGGCATCAGTGCAAGTCAGTTCTTTGTGTAACATCTGCTCCACCGTGTCCCGCAGACGTATTCCAGTCAAAAGAAAGACTGAAGCTATATAATGTAACACAAAATAAAAATACTTAATTATCAGCAGCTATAACACAAAATAAGGGTACCTAAACATCATCAGCTACTTTAGTCCTGGAAGTTACAACCTGTGTCTTTTGGAGAATTTATCCTAAATATTTCAAGACGGTAATTTGGAATGAATAAGTTCATCATCGAAACCATTACTATTTTTTCATACCTGTAAAAACTGAAAACTTGTGATCCTTTGATCTTAATTAAGTTTTTATTTTTAAACATATTTGCGCTAGAGGACTGCTTTAACTGTCGAAAATTTAAGGGGTTAGGAACAAGAAATTCAAACAAGCAAAGTCCTTGAAGTGCACGAAAAATTTAAGTTTGGCATCTGATTGGTTTAGAAAGTTGCAATAATCCAATAATCGGAGCGAAGTAAATAATAACAAATCCTGAATTTCTTCCGCGACTTAAATGAAAAATGAAAAAGAACGGCATCATTTTGATCAGTATTCAAGACCTTACCAGCAGAGGATACCAGTTGTTGATCTTCATCAAGCAACAGTTCCCAGACTACAGGCAAGGTATCCATCAGGTGGCTTTTTTCGATGACTGTACCCGCCTTGGCAATTACTGAGAATGGACAATGAGTCAAACTTGCGAGCTGAAATAAAACAACAAAATAGAACTCAACAATGATGACTCACACTCCACATCAGTAAACAGTAAAGTTTAACAAAAGGAAAATCTGCCAACAAAAAGTGAAAAGCCGAATTCAAAATAGGGTTCCAAGAATTACTGTGCATCTTGGATTTCCTTTTAACTACATTTAAATTTGGAAAAGATCAGTTTAATGATTTCTTTTAAGAAAAACCAAAGGTATTAATTGTGTTTGGCAAAACAAATCGTGAAACGTGTCTTAATTTTGGTATGAGTGAGGGAAAAGTAAAAAAAAAAAAAAAAATCCAACCCTCTACGCCTCGTCCTTACAGAGACGTCTTCTAAGATTCCCCTGAAATCATGAAGTCAAGAAACCGTGACCTGAAAACTACCCACTTTACCTTTCGGGGTTATTGTGTGCACCTTTTACGCTTTTTTCCGACCAATCTCAAAACAACTATAAATTGACAATGAAAAGTTACATGAAATTCCGCATGAGTTTAAAAGTTTCTTTCCCTGCAACTCTAGCTCTCAAGCACTAAAATGCTCTGTGGGAGTCTACTCTGTTAACTTACGCTTGATGATATATATTGTATCATTTCTGTGTCCTCCTTATCCTTCTTTGTTGCCTGTTCCACAGAACCAACTTGCGGTGCACTGATCAGCGGACTGCCATGAATGCCATGCGCTCTGCCTGGCTGCTTGTCGGAAGCTTTGTCGTTCTTGTTCAAAGTGCTGTAAACTGCCTTCAGCGATTTCACCATCCGTGTGCAGCTTCGGCTTTGCCGCTGGTGACAATTAACAGGACAAACTCCTTGGTGATCACACAGGAACGCGGTTGAGCTGTTCAGCTGAATCACGGCATTTAACCAGGGTAAATTCAGAGTTAGATCTTCATCGTCCGACTCGTCATCGTCGTCAAGCATCGTCGCGTCCACACTGAGATGCTTAGCGTCACACTTGGTGGATTTTGATCTGAACCTCACCGACTCACCCTCCCCTCCGATCCCACCACGCTTGGCTATCCGCTTCGCTGTCTTAGGTGAGTTCTGAATACTGACCCGTGGGAAGTACAAACTGTGGCGATTCCGCGTTCGGTCTACACTATCGCGTCTTTCTTTCTTTCCTTCTTGATCTGTGTCTGGGTTGTTAGCGTTCGTATCAGTCCCTGAGACTGTAATCATGGGTGGTTCTTGCAAGGTTCGACTTGGACTGGATGGGAAATCAGTCTGTAAAGAAGACTGACTCCAAGCACTGGCTCGCCGTATTCGTTCTCCTCCTCCACCAATGATACTACTCAAACGACGCTGATGCATTTCGGGAGAAAATGCCATAGACCGTCGATGACTTGTCACACTCTGGCGTCTCCTTTGAATATTATAACGATGTAAGGGTCTACCTGCAGGTTTGCTGACCGAGTAAAGACCATGGCTTTCCCGTAAGAAGGCGGTGATTTCCAGCAGGAGCTGGCAGGCGATCATCAACAGAGGGTAAGGACACACTTTCACTGAATCATTCAAAGTGGCTGAAAAGAAACAAAACGCGCAGAGTATGTTACATGTAGGTGGAAACTAAAACCACTGTTCCTGTTCTCGTGAGATTTTCGAATTGAACAAATAAATTCCTCCAAATGTAGTTCAGCATGAGCTGCTTGAGGAAGACAAGGTAATTTGGTATCATCAACTGACGTCAACATGAAAGTGATTTTCGCAATAATGAACACTACTTAAGCAGTAGTGAAAATAAGGCCTGAAAAAAATTCAGGCCTGTAAGGGATTTGAACCCATGACCTATGCGATACCTGTGCAGCGCTCGACCTACTGCGCTAACAAGCCAATTGGGAGCTGGTCATTATGTTGGTTTCAAATAAGGGAAGTAAAAACTGTAAAGTAAAAAAGTCGGAAAACCGGTATCGCAGAGGTCATGAGTTCAAATCTCGTGCAGGCCTGAATTTTTTTCAAGCCTTTTTTTCACTACTGCTCAAGTGGTGTTCATTACTACGAAGATCACTTTCATATTCACGTCTTTATCCGCAGTGCAAATATATGACTTTCATATATTCACAGCCATTATCAACTGAGTTTATAACGTAAATTGGCCACCGCTAGGAGTTTCGAAGCTGAAATAATCAAAATCAGTACAAATCTTAAACAACTTCAAGGGACTAACAAAAACTGCCACCCTTTGAGTTTCTGAAATTAAGAGAAAATGCATAGAAAGATTGAAAAGTTATTAACTATCGTAATGTACTATCATAAACTTGTTGTCGCTCAAGAAAACATCAACCACCAAAATCTTCAAATCGTGAAATTTATCATGTTCAGCTAAAAGATCGACAATACACAAAACTTCGATCGAAAATAAGTATGTTGAATGGTAAGTGTGCATGCACATATATATATGATATGGAGCTTTCCATATCCCCATACATTGCCTTTAAATTCAGAGAAACAGCCGCACAGTTTGGCCCGGCGGGCCTCCTGTGAAAGAGTAAACTTGTATTTATATTACGTTTCAGTTCGTAAAAATATGATTTTAATTGTAAGTTATTGCTGCAAACCTTCGTCCAGGAAGTCTTCCTCCATTTCATCCATGTCTGTAAGGACAGTCTTCCCACCCTCTTCGTCGATGGACGGCAGCAAATGTCTCCTCTTTTTTGCCAACACCTGCTCCAGTTTCTTGCCCAAAGCAACACCCCATTCACGGAACAGGACACCAGCTTCGTGCATGGCAACGAGGTTACGGCGCTGAGCGAACATGAATGGTGTGGCAGAAGTTGATGAGACTCCACCTCGACGATGAGCAAGAGATGGAAGACTGCCTCGTAACCACTGCGGCCATTCGCCTTGGTTGCATCTATGAACAAGGACGCAACACTCCAACAAGAGACATGCTCTAGCCACAGCTGGTGCTTCCTAAAGAGTAATTGTTAGGGGATCTTTAACACTGGCGCAGTTTTGAATGACTTCCCCTGAAAATCTTAAATTACTAATGTTTTGTTTGATAACATAATAATTCTCATCACTTGTCTGCTTGATATTGTATTGATATTGGATGGAGAAATTCTGTTTTGGTC